CATCCAAGCTACATTGAAGATACAGCTCGAACAACTCCCGTGGACCAGGTTAGTCAATTATTTATACACGTATTAAGAATGAGTTTCGGCTTCAGTTCAAGAAGGTTGTTCAACCAAAAATAGTGGCCCCAAGGCCAGTTACTCGAGGACCTGTTCCGAAACTTCAGCCACAAGCAAGGTAAGTACAGTCGCAAGTTGCTTTTTATTAGTTGTGTTGATATACTTTTTGTTGAAATAATTGTTCTAAAGTAGCATTGTTTTTTTATAACATCCATTCTCGTTATGACATATGTGAGCTTACAGTAGTATAGCACGTGTCTCAATTTTGTCATGTCATCTTGCCAATTTCAAGAGTTTCTTCTTCCCAAAGTCTCTGCGTTTTTCACAAGCAATAGTTATTACAAATCTTTTCCTGGTAAACTAAACACAAAAGTTTGTGCAAGATTTCTTATAATCGCTTTAGCTTTTAAGATGATTTGTCCCTATTAAGAATGATGACAACTCGATTGCCACCTCTGCCCCTTGCAAAACCGCAGGCTGTTGTCATTCCAGCAAAAAGCATTCCTCCTCCAAGCAGTATTGCTAAGGTACATTTTGTTGTCAGAATGCATAAAATTCTCTTACTTCCCAAACCATCTCCTAAATTTAGAGCGCAAACGCAGTATTTCTGGGTTGTTGCAGAGCAATAAAGGTTGCTAAATCTTGCGAGCGCATATGCAACTTCGATATATTAAATAAGAAAACGGTAAGTATCTCCAGAATTTGCGGACACAATAGTTCTTCGTCGATTTTAGCTTACGGGAATGTTCCTTGGAACCGATCCTTGTCCACAGTCATACGGTCTCGATCTCTTGCAATGTGCCGCACAAAACGATGATCACACAACCTGTTGCCGCGAGCGAGGAGTTCATAAAACGTCAGCGGGAGACAAGTGCCTTGGTTTTTGCAATATGCGGCCTGGTGTCAACTTCCAGGTGAGGGAAGCTACGAATGCGATTGTGATTGAGTTTATACTTCTTTCGATGTAAAAACTGCAATCATTCATTATTACACGATCTTTTGTAGAAATGTGCGCAACAACTAGTTAGTGCTGCTTCAATTCTCCTTTGAAGTTCTAACAGTTTGCACATTCCTCTAAATTTTGCAGACTTTACAGTACCAACATAGCTGCAAAACTACTTCCCTATATGGGGATTCTCTTTCATATTTACTGCTCATCGCGACTGATTACATCAAAGGCTATCAAAACAACGCATAACAAACTACGATTAGACAAGCTCCTCGCGATCAAGCCGCACAACCTGATTGCCCGCAGCAGCAGCAGAAACACATCGCATATAGATTCCAGACAACAAGGCGACTGTGAACAGGCTTACGATGTTGGATTGAAATATGTCCCCATATACGATGTTTAAAGGCGATAAGAAGCCAAGCAACATACGATCTATGTGTAAAAGTGAGTTAATCGCTCCATTGCAGGCCGATGTCTCCATGCTACCGTGTTGGGGAGTATTGAACGACATCAAATATTGCTTTAAGGATAGTATAGAGAGTAAGCTGTAATCGAAGCATATTATCACATATCGGAGCTCAGAGAACGGTTCTAGTCTGTTAAGAAGACTCGAATGTGCTTAGAAAAGTTAATACATGAAGTCCTTCACTTAATGTTGCCTAGTACAAATGCCATTGTATGTTCTGTTTTTTGTAGACATCTCGCTGGAATGACTTTTCGATTTTGAACATGCTTCGTAGTTTCGGAATCACATTTAACCCATAGTGACCATCCACCATCATATTAATATCCCAAGCATGATCAAAAACGAAAATGCATTGGCTACATTTATGCCATTCACTGTTGTCTGTACATAAGTTCATCGAATGAATTGCTTATTCATAATTTTGTAAAAGATAGAGATTAGAAGAGATAAAAAATTATATTCCTTATAACTAACAGTTTATGAGAATAATAATAGCAACTCAAGAAATTCAACAAAGCTTTAAAAATAACTAGAAATCTAAGCTAATGAAAGAGATTAATTCCATGCACTACAAATTCTGAAGTCGTAGACGT